ACCTCGCTCCCACTGCTGAACAAAGAGTCGGTCCGCGTTGTGGCCTCTTGCCCTGAATCAATAACTCTCCCCCACTAGGAGTGTGAACCCTCACTAACTGCAGTTCACAATCAATCACTTCCCCATTGGGGCTCAGCCAATCCATACCTACTATAACCTTGTTCCCTCGTAGAAGAATAGGAACCAAGTCTACCGAAAACTGCTCATCAAATAACCGAAGCGAACACCCCTTATGCACTCTCGCGACCCTGATGGTCCTATCATAAGCTATCTCAACCTCAAGTTGGAAATCCAGCTCCCACGGATCTTTGCTAAACCTTTTGCTAAGCGCAAGCGAAACAAATGATCGGGTAGCCCCCGAATCAAACAAGACTATATCTGAAATGCCGATCACTAAGAATGATCCTATATAAAACATATAACCATAAGAAACAATTCATAACAAATAAAGAGATGAAAGGAAGATACATACCCGTCACCACACAGGAGTCACTCGCGCCTCCTCGGCTGTCATCTGAAAAGCTCTACTCTTCGCAACTGGCACCTCACTCCGGCCCTGACGGCCATTTGTAATCCTCAACGTTGCAGGGGCAGGTGCTACCACCTTCCATGCTGCTGTCAAAATCAGACACTGGGAATTTTTATGTCCCCTCTAATTGCAATGGAAGCAAATCAGATCAGATGATATGGTGGTAGTAGTAGCTGTACAATCTCTACTTATATGCCCGATCAGGCTGCACTTGTAGCAACCGGCACTACCTGCCTTGCACGCCTCATCGTGCAATCTCACACACTTGCCACACTGACTATGGCTCTACTGTCCTCTGGATCTATGATCGGATATGTTGAGCTTTTTTCCCGAACTCCCAGTGCCAGATGCCGCCTCTGGCTTCCTCTTCTTCTCCATCTATAAATCAATCTCTCTCTCACGAGCCCTAGCAATCATGTCATCCAACGTTTTACAGCTGGGCCGGCTCACAAACTGGCGGATATCACTCCGCAACATCTCATGATAACGGGCCTTCTTCATTTCCTCATCAGCTTCATACTGAGGAACAAGAAGAGCCCTCTCCCTGAACTTGGCAGTAATCTCTGCCACAGTCTCTGTAGTCTGAGTAAGTTCCTGAAACTCCCTGGCTAAGTGTTTCACCTCAATAACCGATGCAAACTCGGCTCTAAACCTGGTAGTAAAATCAGCCCAAGTCATCGCATCAAGTGCTGCGTCATCCTTGATGATGTGTCCAATTTCCTCCCACCAATCGCGTGCCCTGTCCTTCAGAAGACAGGATGCTAATCTGACCTTATCCCCCTCGGGACATCCGCTGGTGCGGAATGCTTTGGCGACATCTGCCAACCATCTAGTACTCGCAATGGGATCTCGCGCCCCATGGTAATCAGGAGCTCCACAAGCTCTGAACTCCCTGAAAGTGAGTGTGCGCGACCCCATCATGGTCGCCACCTCAGCCCGGAATGTGCTCAACCTCTCATCCATCAGCTCTAAAATACCCACCTTGATCGAACCAAAGATCACAGGAGTATGCTCAAGTATGATACGAGTAATCTATGAGGAGAAAAAACTCCCTCATTTGCTCATCCAAGTGCTCGACCCCCGAGCCTGATCTTGACACCTCACTGGCACCTGAACTACCGCCTACTGGTCTAGGGCGTAAAACCACCATTCTGAAAACACATCACATCAAACGTCAGAAACACAAATATATCTCGAGGGATCACTACTACTACAAGTTTCCTAGTCTCGCCTCAGCCTTCCTTGATTCAAGTACGAATCCTCTGCTCTCAGTAGTACGGGCCCATACTACGTTCCACATCTATCCATACTTTCCTGAAGAGCTGCCTCGACTCACCAAGTCACTTCTACTACTACTGCTCTCTCTTTCTCTCATCCTAGGCTTACCCTAGGGAAATCTCCGACCCAAACCTATCCTCAACTGTTGAGGGCCTCCTTGTAATGCCAATTAGTTATCACCTGAATACCATCACATGTGACGAGGCTCAGATAATCTTTCGAGTAAAAGACTCGTCCCCACAATGGTTAGACTCAAACGAGAGTTGCGCAATATGGCCAAATCCAACACTCTGAGATTATTCAACCCTAATCACATGTGACGTGACGTATTCACCTAATGGCTAACTCTCATCACTCAGATTCCCCCAAAGCACAAAGCAAGCAACATTTGGACACAGAAACTACTCAACAAATCTATTCTCATAACGAGAAACTATACTAGCATACAATGCTAAGCTCATACGATCAAGCATAACCTAAACATGCTATCCTACATTTTTCTACTCAAAACTAGCATGCAATTCTCATAAAGCTGAAACACATAAAGCAAACACATAAGGCATCATTTCTAGATCCTTAGTCCTATTCTAGCATGTTGTTCTACTGAAACTGAAACTGATAATCATAACATAAAATTCTATGGGTAATTTAGAACTACTTACTTGAGCTCGACTTATCACATGCACCACACCCTTTTCTCTTTTTAAAAAAACTCTTTTTCTTTCTAAGTTCTTTTACAAAAATTCTTTTTGAAAATGTTTTTCATTTAAAAATCTATTACCATTTCCTTAGTTTGAGTTTAGACACACCCGAAAGTGTCCCTGAATCCCTCAAACCATGGCTCTGATACCAACTTGTAACGACCCAAAATACGACCCAAAATTTTTTGTTTTAATATTACTAAAATTCACATCAACGAATGTCATATATAATAACAACCATGGAATAACTAACTCAAAAGTCATAGTAATTGTGTCAAAACAAAACCTATATCAATCATATCAAAATATCTGAATAAAACTCCCACGATAAAACTGAAACGGTGGTGTGTGCGATGTCATCAACCCGAGCTCTTCCCTTTGCTAGCGGAAGTACCTGAAACCAAAAATTGAAACTGTAAGCACAAAGCTTAGTGAGCTCCCCAAACAACCACATACCATACAATAACATATAAACAACTATTGGGCCTTACCCACTGCATCGAACGAAAGTCCGGAAACTTCATCGAACCAAAGTCCGAACTAACCAGGGCCTTGCCATTGGACCGAAGTCCGGAAATTGCATTGGACTGAAGTCCAGAACTGACTGGGACCTTGTCCCCTGTATCGGACCGAAGTACGGAAACTGCATCGGACCGAAGTGCGGAATTGACTGGGAGCTTGTCCCCTGCATCGGATCGAAGTCCGAAAACTCACTAAACATAGCATAGCATAAACATATCAACTAGCATGAACACATATACTGCATACTACATCGGACCAGAGTCCGGAACACATAACACAAAACATGCTTGAATCACAAAGACATCAAGCACTCCAACTACTGCATCGGACCGAGGTCTCGAACTACTACTAACTAAATGGGCCGGCATTGTGGTTATAGACCCATTCCTACTAGAAGGAAAAGTCACCTCGTAACGCTGGCTGTTAAGATGCTAAATCTGAAATTGTCTGACTGCTACTGTGGAATTCCTCGGCTACAAATCCCATAAATACAAAATCAAATACTGATAACAAACCTCAGGGTAAAATGACCATTTTACCCCTGCTATGGTGTGGGTCACAAACATGGCCCAAACCCTCAATTCTTTCCAAGTCCTCCAATAGCCCACTAAAGGCCCACTAATGGTACCAATTTTCTATATTGGGCCCAAATCTCTTTATTGGGCCTTACTCTAGGCCCAACACTTAAACAAGGCCCATATTCACTGACTTCTGATGACTCCTAAGGCCCAAAGATTCTAATTCCAAAGCACAACCCACACTGAGGCCCAAATACTTGAAGCCCAAACTGATCAAATACGCGGGGCGTACCCCAAGGTACGCTGAGCGTACTGGCTGCTGGCTTGTTTTCCGTGCGTACCTCCTTGTACGCCCAACGTACAACCCAATTAAGCCAACTTCCTATTAAGTGCTTAATCCTTCGATTCAGAAGCTACAAATTCAGATCCATGTCTTATTTTCTATCCTATGCCATAAAGTTCCTTACTTGATGGCTTGGGTAACTTAAAACGACTGAAACTTCAAAAAGCAATATCCTAATTCCATATAAATGACTAGATCTCTTGCATGGCCTCATGCAAACCTCCAAGATCGAAACTTTATTGCTAATGAGGTGCTTTGAGCCCAAAGGATGGCAATCCAAGCTCAAAAACGAAACTCCATGATCAAGGTCCAACCTTTGGACCTAAAAAGGTTTAAAACTTCAATAACTTTAGATCTAGCATATGAGGAAGAAAGTCCAGTGCTTTATACCTTCTTTTGGTGATAAAGACTGAGTCTAGACCGGATTTCTGAGGTCAAGCTTCTTCTCCAACCTTTGCTTTCCTTCTTCACAACTTCTTTCTCACTAAAACCATCACAAGGAGCAAAATCACACAAAAGAGAAAGTAAGGACGTATTAGGGTTTCTTTGGGGTGAGGAGGCTGGTAAGAATCTAGAGGGAGGCTATAATGGGGTTATATAGGTCTTAAACCCTTAAATTAGGGTTTTCCTATTTGCTCACTTACGTTGCATGTAAGTGTGTGCGTCCCTGATTCGATAGCGGTCCATTTCGCCACGCGTACGTCCAGGCTACGCCCATCATACGTCTTATGGGCTACCCAATACTTGGCCCAAGTGCATAAACCCAAAACCAATATTCTTTTCCTTCCATATTAGGCACAACTATAATTTAAGAAAAATTAAATAACTAATACCTCGAGACGGGAGTTACACCAAGAAGTGTAGAACATGCATAAATCAGTGAGAAAATATTCATATTCCATTCCAATAGAATTGGAATTAATGATTCCATTTCGATAGAATTGGAATTCAAGATTCAATTATCGTATGCATTCTGTTGAAAAAAAAAATATCCAAATAAAAAAAAATGCATAAATAGTAAATACATAGGAAATATCTTGTGCTTGAGGGAATCAAACCTAATCAGGTCAAGAAAGAGTCAAAAATATGCAATGGAGTTCCTCACATGATTAGGTTGGGGCAACCCTTGTAGGAATTGGTAGTCTTTGAATATTAAGCTCCTATAAATCACAACACAATAAGGGTATTAAACATGAAGGATAAGTACGTATCATATATTCCTATATTCCTATTTAGTTTCTCTTTTGGTGTTAACAATCCAGCTACAAGAAAAAAAAGGTCGAAACTAAATATCGAAACCACAAGAAACATTAGACCCTCCAAGGATAAAAAGGTCCAAATAGCTCATCAAATCAACCTCCTCCTACAGCCATTGAAAACCATAACAAGAACTCTACCAAGCTAAAACACAACAACCCTTCCAAAATAACCCTCCACCTAAACTCTAACCATGAAACTAAAGTCAAGAAAGAGTTAAATTGGAATAACTTGGTATCAGAAAGTGTAATTGTAATTTTGTGCCATTTGCCCTGATTGAACAAGATTACTGTGAAATCGCCTTTCCCCACACCTCGAGTGTACCATTAAACAGAATGTGCTTAAGGAGAAAGCATTAAGAAACCCCAATGTCAAATGTCGAACAGAAAATTAAAAACAACTCACCTCTGATAGGCCGACACTGAATATGACTACTGATGTGGTTGTCTTGATGATATTATGGTGGTATTTATTTGCACTTTGATTCAAGAGAGGGGGACAGAATAAGGGCTTGATACTGTTAATGAAACTGGAAGAAAGCAAAGAAAAGAGGGGTGCTGGAAAATTCATTCAAATGATACATACCATCGTCTTGTTGAGTGAGGGTAACAACACATCCGAAATTGGAGGTGACCTTAAGGACGGCGGAAATTTTTTGGATGGCGGCAACGATATTAAGGGTTGATTTTTGACACTCCTTCTCTGACATTGTGGAGGCGGGGAAAGAGAAGACCCAAGGGTTGATTTCCGACACTGCTTCTCCCACACGTATCATCTACTCATCTCGTTCCTTTTAGACTTCCCTTCCTTTTAGACTTCCCGATTATCAGCTTCAATTTCATGAGCCCAGGTCTAGACTTCAATTTCACGAGCACACAATATTCATCTGATAGATAAAGGTGGAAAATTTAAGGTTAGGAAAAGTCAATTATATTATTTTCATAAATAACTACCTAATATAATGTCAAATTAATTAATTTAAAAATATTCATTAAATGTAACATTAGATAAATACTCTTTTAGAATGATCCGTCTATATTTATTCCTATATCTACATAATACTTAGTTAGAATACTTAAACACCCCTTTCTCTCTCTCTCTCTCTCTCTCTCTCTATATATATATATATATATATATATATATATATATATATATATATATATATATATATATATATATATATATATATATACACTTTAACCCATTGTCATTGTACTCTATTAAAAGAACAACATCCATATATAACTTACCAAATTAAGTTATGTGCTTGTTAATTCCATTAAAAAATTAGGAAAATCTAATCAAATGTCGATGCATTTGATCCCATTGTATCATTTTTTTAGTCAAATAAGACAAAAAAAACATCAATTATTTGCAATTTGATCTCTTTACCCGGTAAAACCGGTCATGAAAAGAATTTGAGGATTTTTTTTTCAAAATAAATCAAAATATAACGATTTTTTTAAAAATATATTTATTTTTAATTTTTTAATATTATCCTAGTATCCTAATCATTTTTTTTTGTCTAACAAATTTTATTATCCTACGTTAATCTTATGATATTTTTTTGTTTAATTGAGAATATGTATTATGAAAATAGATTTTTTCTTTCAAAAATAGCAATTTTTATAATATTTATGTCTTACGGATTGTTTTATTTTATATTATTCTTATGGTATATTGTTGGGTTATGCACAATCTAAAAGCCACAAAGACACAAACAGCGGATCAAATACAAAACATAAGGATACACCAATAGTTGGATCCATATTCACAGCGGATCAAATACAAAACATAAGGATACACCAATAGTTGGATCCATATTCACAGTCTATCTATTGCAACAAAATAAATCAAAAATAAAAAGATTACAAGTACTTACATTAATATTCTTTAAAACATGAAAGACACATATCTAATATAGATCATTTTACCTAGGTGCTCATATAATTATAGGATCAAGATCATGATTTTAACAGCTTTGTTATCATTTGTTTAATAATTTTTTTTCTAAAGATAACTTTTTTGTAACTTATAGATTTTTATGTTTATTTTATAGAGAATATTATATGATAAGAGTAAAGAAATATAATAAGATAATAGTAAGATAAGACTTTATCTTACAAAAAAAACTAGATAAGGACTAAATCTTTAATGAGATCAAAACATAAATACTTTTCGAAATGCAAAAAAAAGTCATCATATTCTTTTTGTGACCGGTTTACCGGTTAAAAGACTCAAAATGCAAATAATAATCGGTTTTCAAGACTTAATTGACTAAAAAAAGATAAAAGCTAAATCGTAATGGGGTCAAAACATAAAGACTTTTAGGTAGATTTTCCAAAACAATATATCCATCATAACTTCATGTCTTTTAACAATGCAAATTGTAGTTTGAGAGGAAACGGGGACAATCGGCTACAAGTGTTGATGCTTATATCAAGGAATACAATGTATCTGAAGAACTGGCAATCAAAGATCTCATGAAGATGATTGAAAATGCATGGAAAGATATAAATGAAGGGTGTCTAAAGCCTACAGAGGTCTCAATGGCTCTACTAACTCCTATTTTGAATCTTGCAAGAATGATTGATGTTGTATACAAATTCGATGATGGGTTCACCTTTCCTGATAAAACCTTAAAAGACTATATTACCCTTTTGTTCGTTACACCTGCACCAAGTCTCGAAAATTGCTAGGTTGCAATACAAGTATTATATTTACACAAAATGTTGCTTTTTGTATTGTTGGGTATGTTTGCGCTCAATTTGGTTATACTTGTAATTGACATTTTATTATAATACTTTCTTGTCAAATTAAAATTTCTTGCTATGGATTCTTTTGGATGTTTTATTGTGTAACTCAGCTATGTAACTAAGTGTGTAACGGTATGTTTTTCCCCCTTATTAGCGATTGTCAAGTTAAAGTCTTAAATTATGTTTATTAATATATTTAAGAAAATGAAGGCATATTTGGAGAATTGCAAGTTTAACATGAGGCTAAATTTGTAAAATCAGCATGACGAAGAAAATTAAGTTTAAACTAGTTTGATGTGGTCTTTTATGTGCTAAACATACAAAACAAAATCACACCCAAAAGCCTGTATAAAATTAATTTTAAACTAGAAGGGTGTTCCCCGCGTTGCAGTGGTTGGACGGTGTTGCATTTGTGTCAAACTAGTGTATATTGCCTCAATTGGTAATGACAGTAAAGTATGCTATTCTTTGCAATTCTCCCATTTACAAACACGGTAAAAAAATGAATGTATATTTGTATTTTTTAATTGCATTACTATAATTGAAAGAGATTTTCAAAGTATATTGTTCAACCAATTTTGATTCGAAGAAATTTTGAAAGCTTATCCTTTCACATAAACAACATCCACAATTGGTTTCCATACCTCCACTTGTTCTTTTGTTCATATGTCAATTATAAACATGGTGAGAAACAAATTTGTAGCTTACTTGAATTGTGACCAGTTTTATGGAAAGTAGTAGCCTAGTTGAAAAATATAATAATGTGACTCATAAGAGGAAACATGTATACCATGAAACAAACTTGTGTTAAGCTTTGCTATCAATGAACATTGAAAAATAAAAAATAACAAATCAAAAGAATGACAATATAATTCAATAGATATAAATAAAAAGATTACATTACGTTCAGGCATCCTTCTGTTAACAACAATATCCCCACCATTCCTCCCAACGACTCATTATAAAGTGTAATCTATACCAAATAAAAAATAAGGTAAATTGATTACAACATATAAACCATGACCAAATCCTCTTAGAGCTGCAGATGATAAATATATTACAATATTGTCAATACCCCTTTCCATCATAGGCCAACCTTCTACTCTTTACCATTAGAGGATAACCAAATTGCTCACATGCTCTTTTAGCACTTTCGTCATCTTCTATCTGTCCTGCTAAAAAATATAAAATTATCTTTTTTTTTAAGCAAAAAATTACTAAAATAATCCTTAAAATCCATACATGTATGAACTTTGAAAGTTGAATGCCATGTCTAGAAAAATGAATTTTTGAAGAAATCTGTCATGTGACAAAAAACTATCACTATAATCATTGTGTAACCATAATCCAATTAGAAATATACACAAGTTGGTTCTTGTCTACATTTCAGAGAAAAACTTGAATGATTCATAGTCAAACCAGAATATTTCATAGTCAAACGGTACTGATTAGCAAGACAAGGAGTACATGCAGCTCTAACACCCCGTTCTCGAGTTGTAGCAGAGAATAGAAGAAAAGAGAAAAGAAAGTAAGGAGAAAAAAGAAGAGAAGAGAAAGGAAAAGAAATTTGTGTTTTGTGTTCTCGAGTTGGAGAGAAATGGAAGGAAAGTTAAACATTTTGTTCTTTCTCTCCAAATCCTTCCAAATCGGAAGGAAAGTTAGGAGGGAAAGTGATCCCTCCATTTCCTTCCACTTCCCTCCTTTAATGAAACTCGGGAACACCAATTTCTCTTACTTTCCTCCCACTTCCACCCATTTCCTTTCTTTTCTCTCTTTAACTTGAACTCGGGAACGGGGTGTAAATACCTTGGATACAGCGAGTTCATTGTCCAGAACAACATAAAATCAATTTTTCAAGCTTAAAAAACAAGTAGCATCAAGTATAATTGAAAACAAGCCTAGGCTCTGATACCACTAAAGGGTTTTGAGCATTCTAACACTCCTAAGGTGTACATGCAATCCTAAACACGTTGGATCTATGTTTTTCCCTATTATACATGCAAACTTGAACTTTCCAAGGTATTACCCTAACTAGCATACAAAACTTTGATACTTGGGTAATAAAACAAGTTAGATAACATACCTTTTCTTGTAACTTGTTGGAAACCTTGAACCTTTTGCCTTTACGAGCTTAGAACCAGTAGTATGAATGCCTCAAGTGGAATCACAACACATCTACAACAAAGGATAACTTTAGAAGAGATTCCTTATAGACAAAAATCGGCTAGCCCTCTAGTATTCCACTTAAGTGCCAATTTCATGAGCTAGAGGAGTTCTTATATAGTGTGGCAAACTAGGGTTACACCATGTAAACCCTAATGACTTTCCATATCCCTCATGCTCCATGGGTTAAAACATCCATGGAACATCCATGAGTTACCACATGGGTTTAGACGAACGTGAAGAACTATGGATCATAAGCCCACTTTTATAAGAATGAATGATTTACCAAATCAACGCCTTATATTTAATTAGTTTCTTTTGATCACAAAATTAATTCCAAATTAACTATTGATCAATACTAATTAAATAATATGATTTCATATTAATATACTAGAACTTATAATATATTAATAAACTATGAATAACATCTTCTCAAAAGTCCATCCTATCAAATTGTCCTAATGATATGCAACCCAAACGGACCATGCTATTGTTGGGTCAAGTGCATACCAAATATAGTTATGGACTTAGACACTAATCCAACACCCACAAGTACACTTGCATTAGGCACTTTGTTTCTCTTGTTTTGGTGGCCTATATTTACCAACAACAGGTTTAGAAGTAACTAAGTTTGAAGCAACAGATTCAGAGTTCAAGGAGTCATTGGTTTGTTCAGTACTGTCCTCCTTGTTCTCATCTTCCGCTACTTTACCTGCACAAGAAGTAAAATCATCAGAAACGTTCACCTCAATATCCTCTGTTGGCCCAGATTGTTTCGCATTAACTGAAGTTTGTTCAGGAGTTGGCCAAACTGGGCAAGAATTTCTTCCTTATTGGTCTCAAGGGGTGGGTTATA